TAATGATGCTTAACTAAAAGATTTACAAGTCCTGTTTGATTTATTTATTTATTATTATTTTTTTAAATATGCAAGTTCTGATATGTGTATTCTAATCATATGATGTGAACAGAACAAATAGCAGTCAGTATGCTATATATATATATATATATAATTAAATGTCACATGATGAGAATTCCTATATTATCTTTCATCGTCTAAAAATGTAACAAAAAACAACCATTAAAAACCCATGAATTGAAAATCCTTTCATCAATCATTGATTCAAAAACACACAGAATTCATCTTCTAAATGATGGGCACTAAATTTTTAAATGTAGAAACGTTAAGAAACATTGAGAGATGACCACTTTAACAAACTCTGAAACAATTGAAAAAAACAACTAGTTTCTCCATAAATATGATCTTGATATCTGCATTTTTATTGATCAATTTTGCTTTTGCAACAACAATAATCAAAATATGTGCATCTCGCCACCACCTATAATCGGAATCTCGGAATCTGAAGCTCCTCCATCGGCTTTGATGACACTTCTCATTCTTCGTCGTGGGCAGTAGCCAATTCTTGATAGTGGGAAGCAAAATGGAGATTCGTGGTGGGAGTTTCGAGATTTCTGGTTTTGGGGGTTTCTAAGGTTCTGGGGTTTAAGCGTAATTAATACGGGAGCTAGAATTTTAATTAGTTTTAGGGGGTATTATCTAATTTGTTATTTTTTTAGGGTACTCAGTCTAATTTTCCTAATTAATTACATATGTCGCCCCACGTGGCAAATTAAATAATTTCTCAACAGAAACGAGTATTGAGAGAACAAGATCTAGAAAAAAAAAATTAACTTAATTTTTTATTCCATAATGAAGAATGTCTAGCTTTGTCATTGATTTCAAAGATCATCCAAAATGACTTTTTGCACACAAAGTTGAAGGGTCAACACCAAAACGTTAGGGACCATTCAAGCACAAGGCCAATTTCCATATATAATTTAGCCAAGAAAAAAAAGTTAAACAACAAAAAAAACAAAAAACTAAAAAAAGTGATAAAATTCAAAAAAGTGACACAAATTAAAAGAAGTTATACGGACTAAAAAAGTGACAGACAATAAAAAAAAAGTGGCACACTCAAAAAGTGACAAAATTTAAAAAAAGTTACGAAATTAAAAAAAAAAAGTGACACAAATTTTAAAAAAAATAACAATCTTTTGATGAAATTCACGTGCTTTCTCCTTTTGCGACAATTGGAGTCGAATTTTCGTTGCAAGAACATTGGACTGACTCTCAATATCCTCCTCTTTTTTGATCTCATCTTCTTCGTCTATTCCATCCTCAGGTTCACTTGAACAATTCCATTTCCAAGCCAGATTAAATGAACAATTGATGAACCTTGTCTAGGATGAGGGTGGTGTTGGTGGGGTGCCAACGGATTTGTTGGTGATGATGGACTCTTGTTGGTCCTTAAAAATCAAAACCTCCATAAGATCCATTCTGTTGCATCATATTTCCTGATCATAAATTCCCATCCATCATTAGCTAAAAAATCACAAATCCATTCACCTCATAAATCAAATACAAGCAGAAAAACCCACAATTTTCACTCGGTAAAAAACTCGTTGAGCAAGATTATAAAATCTTGAAAACCCTTTATGTGTTCTTAGTCTTTACACCCACAAAACCACCAACTTTAAATATATGATGTATTCATATGCTTAATGATGCGATTTACAAGCCCCGTTTGATTTATTTATTTATTATTATTTTTTTAAATATGCAAGTTTTGATATGTGTATTCTAATCATCAAACCATATAGAAGAATCAAAATCATAAACATGATGTGAACAGAACAAATAGCAGTCAGTATGCTATATATATACATATATAATTAAATGTCACCTGATGAGAATTCCTATGTTATCTTTCATCATCTAAAAATGTAACAAAAAACAACCATTAAAAACCCATGAATTGAAAATTCTTTCATCAATCACTGATTCAAAAACACACAGAATTCATCTTCCAAATGATGGGCACTAAATTTTCAAATGTAGAAACGTTAAGAAACATTGAGAGATGACCACTTTAACAAACTCTGAAACAATTGAAAAAAGCAACTAGTTTCTCCATCAATATGATCTTGATATCTGCATTTTTATTGATCGATTTTGCATTTGCAGCAACAATAATCAAAATATGTGCATCCTCGGCACCACCTATAATCGGAATCTAAAGCTCCTCTATCGGCTTTGATGACACTTCTCATTCTTCGTCATGGGCAGCAACCAATTCTTGATAGTGGGAAGCAAAATGGAGATTCGTGGTGGGAGTTTCGAGATTCCTGGTTTTGGGGGTTTCTAAGGTTCTGGGGTTTGAGCGTAATTAATACGGGAGCTAGAATTTTAATTAGTTTTAGGGGGTATTATCTAATTTGTTATTTTTTTAGGGTACCCAGTCTAATTTTTCCAATTAATTACATATGTCGACTCACGTGACAAATTAAATAATTTCTCAACAGAAACGAGTATTGAGAGAACAAGATGTAGAAAAAAAATTAACTTAATTTTTTTATTCCATAATGAAGAATGTCTAGCTTTGTGATTGATTTCAAAGATCATCCAAAATGACTTTTTGCACACAAAGTTGAAGGGTCAACACCAAAACGTTAGGGACCATTCAAGCACAAGGCCAATTTCCATATATAATTTAGCCAAGAAAAAAAAGTTAAACAACAAAAAAGGCACAAACTTGCGTCAAAAGCAAGTGGGATAGAAACGGAATGGGACGTCGCATCCCATATCAAACCCCAAATAATAAATAAATAAATAATGGAAAACCACATTTAGATTTTCATTTATTGTTGTTTGATTCTTATGAAAATATCTCTCGCTTTTTTTAGATGAATCTTAGTTGAAATCAAAATTCAATGTTATGAAATTGATCATGTGATGATTAACATGGACCCAAAACAGTTTTATCCTTGAAGACTAAGAATAATAGTAAGAGTGCGTTTGATAGAGATTAAAATTGGATTAAAATTGAAAAATTAACCGTTATTATTGACTTTTATTAGACGAATGAGACGAATGAGACCCAATAACGACTATATTTTCAATTTTAATTGGATTTTAATTCCTCTCAAACAAGATCTACAAGTGTACATTCTTTGATTTACCTTGTTTTTGACATCACTCATATTTTCAAAAAATTGTGGGCGATTTTTTTTTATTATTTTAAAATTTGTCCAATCGTATATTGTCACGTGACACAATAATGTAAAAAATGATGTATATGTAACATGATTGAAAGATTAATTCTGAAGCTATAGCCCCCGTTTGGTTCGGATTAAAATCTGATTTTAATTCAAGTCAAAGTCAAACAATCAGTATTAACTACATCTTTCATGACCCCACAACTTTTCAACCACACATTTCAAAAACTTCTATCACAATCTACTAAAAATCTAATTTTAATACTCACCAAACATTCTCATAATATAAAATCGAGAATTAGCCTATGTTTGACATGCATATTTAAAAATATATTATTTCAAAACTCATTTTCAACAACATATTCTTCAATAAAATAATAATTTTCATCATATCAATAATTTTTCCTTACTTTTGTAACCACACATTTCTCATCATATCACTATTTAAAATACATTATTTTATCAATAATATCCATCAAACACACAGTATGCTTCTTTTTAAAATCAGATACTAACTTTTCATAATATTGCTTCTCAAAAAATATTCATACGATGGCTAAACAAGACTATTGTTGGAATTCGATAAAGCTAGTCGATTAAAGAGTGAAAGATATATTGAACCTCAACAAATTAGGTAGTCAGTATCCTCAACACTCTAGATGAGTGCTTAACTCGAGTGTTTAGATTGTGCACTTATCTCGTTGTGATTGTTCTCTCAAGTCCTAAGTAAATGTTGCTATATATCATATACAATAATGGAAATAGTCAACTTCAATCTACAATCAACTTTACCTTTTATTATTATTATTATATTATTAAAACTAATAGTTAGGTTAACTAACAAATTTTGTGGGGGCTAATGAGGAGTTAGGAGTTGAGAGACAGCCCATCAACCCCCATCAACGAGGTTAGGCCAAAAAATGCAAGAAGTTACGTAATTTTCTCATCATTATAATGTAAGTTTTTTTAAAAAATCATTAAAACCATTACAAAATAATTAAGAGTGTGTTTGAGTTACGTTATTCTGGAAGAATGTATTTTGGAATAATAGATTAACGAAAAATGTGTGGTTGAAAACGAAGGAAAAGTTATTGATGTGATGGAAAATATTATTTTATTGAAGAATGTGTAGTTGAAAATGAGTAGAAGAATGCGAATGTGGCTCAAACAAGGGCTTAGATTTAGTTGACGGAAAGAGAGGAAACCAAGGATGTGTTTGAACCACATTATTCTAAAAGAATGTGTATTCTGAAATAATAGATTTATGGAGAATGTGTGGTTGAAAAAGAAGAAAAAATTATTGATGTGATGAAAAATATTATTTTATTGAAGAATATGTAGTTAAAAATGAGTAGAAGAATGATAATGAAAATTTGGCATTGGTTAGCGTGAGGACTCTCCAAAGTTCACCCCTACCCTACGCCTACTCCCCACCCCTTGCACAGTGCCCACTGGCCACTACTCGTGATGTACGAAAAACTCTGTGCCCCCAAATCTAAACTCCCCAACGGGCCAACACCATTTCTGTCCCTCTCTCTCTTAATTCTGGCCGGGAAATCATAACTTTTTTATGGAAATTAGCTGAAACTTTAACACGCTACTTTTATACCAAGAAATCTTAAAAAATGTGGAATCTTGCAAAGACCCATTATGGTTTCTTGAGTTACAGTGGGATTTCTTGATTTTTCTTGCAGGTTAAAAGGCTTATGGACAAGTGTATTTTGGTTTGAAAGCACAATGTGAGTGGTGAATTTCCATATTTTTACTCTGTATGTATGTGTATGCTATTTCTTGGTTGTGAAGATGGTGGCCGCTGTTTCTGAAAACCCCAAAATCATATCTTCAAGAAGGCCTCCATTATTGTCTTCCGAAAAAGAGGACAAGAATGGGGTTTCAAACAATACCAAGAGGCCCAAATCAAGAATTGTTTCTTCACGATATATGTCCCCTTCAACTTCAACTTCTACTTCCACTTCCACTTCAAATTCATCCTCAGTTTCTTCATCTTCCTCTTCTTCTGGAAGGTATCCCTCTCCTTTGGTTTCAAGGAACTCGACTCCGGTGTCCAAGGCTCCTTCTTTATGCCCCAAGAGGTCTGTGTCTGCAGACCGGAGGAGGCCCGTGGCTGCCAGGCAGTTAGCGCCTGATCTTGATTCTAAGCATGAGAGTTTGACTGAAGTTTCAGCAGCTGCGAAGCTGCTCGTCACTTCTACTCGTAGTTTATCGGTTTCCTTTCAAGGTGAAGCCTTTTCGCTACCGGTTAGTAAGACTAAGGCTGCCCCGTCTTCGCCTAATTTGAGTAGTGTGAGGAAGGGTACGCCAGAGAGGAGGAGAAGTGGAACTCCATTGAGAGGAAAGGGTGATAGGGGAGGAGATCAAGTAGATAATTCTAAGAATGTTGATCAGCATATGTGGCCGGCAAAAAACCGCTCGGTGAATCCATTGTTGAGGAGTGTGGATTGTAGCGGCAGTAGTGTAGAGAGGAGCAAGCTCATTGGATCTGGCAATGTAGTTCGTGCATCGCAACATACTTTGATTGATGAGAGGAGGGCGTCACTTGATGGTAGGTTGAGTCTTGATTTTGGCTATTCGGATCTTTTAAAGACGGCTCAACTAGTTATGGAGAGGAATTTGGTTAATAACGAGTCATCTGTACCATCTGATCTCATTGCATCTGATTCGGACAGTGTCTCTTCCGGTAGCACTTCTGGAGTTCAAGAAACTGGTGGCGATTTCCATGGAAGAAATGGTCCTTGTGGAATTGTTGGTTCGGCTAGGTTTTGGCAAGAAACCCATAGTCGGCTGAGGAGGTTGCAGGATCCAGGCTTGCCCTTATCCACCAATCCCAGTTCGAAACTAATTGTGCCGCCAAAGTTGAAAAAATATGCAAGTGATGGTCCATTGTCATCCCCTATTCGTGGAGGTATTAGACCTGCATCTCCGAGCAAGCTTATGACACCAGTGGGATCATCTCCATCCCGGGGAATTAGTCCATCTCGTGTCAGAAATGCTGTTAGCACCATTACTAGTAAATTTAATGAGACACCCTCAGTTCTTAGTTTTGCCGTCGATGTTCGGAGAGGGAAAGTAGGCGAGACCTGGATTGCTGATGCGCACCTGTTGAGGCTTCTGTATAATCGGCACCTCCAGTGGCGTTTTGCCAATGCTAGGACTGAAGTGGTCTTGCTGGTGCAGAGACACAGTGCAGAGGTGAGATATCTTCAACGATAATCTATGTATGCCCTGTTTAACTATGATGGTCGATATTTCTTTTTATGATAAATGTTAGTCTCAAAGCACTTTTCATTCATTGAGGTTATTTCTTTTTAACTGTTAGAAGCTCCCATAAAAATTAGGACCCTTTCCCTTTTTGTTCACTTGCAGATAACATTTAAGACACAAATGTGACAAACTTATGATTAAACTTAGGGCCAATTTGCTCCTTTTGTCAATTGTGGTGTAGCCAGATGAGCTTAGAACACAACCTCCAATAAAGATATATTCCCCTACATATAGTTGTGTTGCTGCTCTTAACATGCTCTATGTGAACAAATTGCTGAACTTATTAAAAGAAAGTGAATCTCTAGAGATGCATATGATCATAACCTGACTTACAATTACATCATGTGGTCTTTCGAAGGGCCAACTTAAAACTCTAAAAATAATAATTTTGTCTGATAATTTTTAGTGATGATATTAGTGTGTAATGAGATGTTTGGAAGAGTAAATTCTTTGAGATGAATATATTGTCGAAACGGAATAATAAGCATTGAAATAATGGTCGCTTACTTTTACTATCCTATAGAATTTTGCACACGTTGTACGTGTTTATAATGATATTTCTGATTGTAATTTAGCCATTTTCTTTATGTGGTCTAGCGAGAAGGGTCGTGGGGCCCGTGTTCCAAACATTTAATTGGAAAACAGGAAATCAACTTTTTTAGTGAGCATTTCAAATATTACAGGGAAAGCTGATAAAAGGTTCCTATATATGCCAACAAATGCAGGGAATGCTGAGAGAAAGTTCGTTTACTGAATTGAAAATTAATTTAATCATTAGATGAATCCTGGATAAATTTGAAAGTTGGTACAAATGCCTGTTTCTGTGAATTATTGAGTTAGGTTAAACAAAAGGAAAAAAAACGGGGAACAGGAAACTCTAGTAGGCTAGAGGATGTTGCCTTTTCTTGCTGATTAGTTGAAGTACTTGGGTCTTTGAAAAATGAAAGTATGATTAAAGCTAGAGTGAAGATCTGGTTTTTGGGTCTTGCCTTCTGTTAGAGGACAAAATGCATCGTATCTGTGGAAGAATAAAAAGCAGACTCAAGTGGAGAAGTCCCAAGTTTTGTTTATTAAGAAATTTATGTAACTTTGTTCGACACTATCCTAATTGATAGTAATAGAGTATTGTAATGAAGAATTTGGAAGAGTTTTTGCGGGAATTCTTTTTTTTTTGATAGGTAAAGTTTTGCGGGAATTCTTGAACTTTATGATACAAAAAAGAGTTCTATTGTATCATTAAACACGATCGGTGCTCAAAAATGTAGTTTTTATTCACAGTTAGTTTCATCATAACAAATTAGATGACATGAGTGTAGCAAAAATAATGATTAAGATGACATGACTGTAGCAGAATGAGGATGTTATGCTTATTATTGGACATATTAGAATAGGTAAAATATCAAATCTCATGGAGCATGTTGTCCACCTTCATGTGCTGGCTCCTTTGGCTTCAAAGGCATGAAAAATAAAATATTCACCAAGTGAGGTGGCACAGTCAATTATTAAGGGAAGGATGAGTGGATGACTACATGGTTGAAGCATGTTTCACGTATGCATAAGTGAACTTCAATGTCAAAAAATGATGTGATTCTAGTTGAAGAAGGAGGAGAGAGACATAGATCAAGATTATCATGGCACAAGTTGGTTGAGAGAGATTTGATTTCATTGGACCTTTCAGCGGACAGCTAGATGGACGGGATGATAACAAATGATTACCAAAACCATACTCAAAATGTATTTTGGAGATGCAGTTGTTTTAAACGTTATTGATTATTATGAAAGGAATATTATCTAGCTATTTGAACATAAATTGTTGGTGGTGAAATAAGCGAAAGAACTCAATGTTGTACAAAATATAATTTATTAGATTCTAAGTTTTAAAGCAATCTATCAGAATGTGTTAGGATTGGTGCATCCAAATTTATTACATTGATTTAGGTAGATATTTTAAATATGGGATCAAGAGAAAAGCATACAATGTGACAAGGACATTCACTAAAAGATTTTACCATAATTCTTTTTTTTTTCAATGCATCATAAATGGGAAAGAGGGCGAGAGATAGAAAGAGGAAAAATAGGAATGAAATTTGCCAAGCTGTTTGATTATTCTTTCTTATGGTTTTTGATGATACTAAAATTTCATAAGTAGCAAGGGCGGAGGCCCCCCCCACCCCCCCCCCCCCCCATTTTTTTTCCAAAATTTTTTTTTTTTTTTTTTTTTCAATGCATCATAAATGGGAAAGAGGGCGAGAGATAGAAAGAGGAAAAATAGGAATGAAATTTGCCAAGCTGTTTGATTATTCTTTCTTATGGTTTTTGATGATACTAAAATTTCATGTGCCCTGAGAATTTGACATGGGAAATCCTTTCATCTATACGCTAATGCTACAAAGGTATAAGCCAAAAGCTTCATATGCAACGCATTATGAACTTTAATGTTTGGAATTTCTTACTAAAGATGCAAGTAAGATATGCATGACAATTAAGCACGTGATGCAAATTCTTGCAATTGGAAATGATATATTATGACAATTGATTTTGATCGCTTAATTTCTATCTTCATTTCCTTTTGAGTACTGAATTTGTGAGACATTCTTGATTTCCTGGTTTTTCTCTATTCCACGTACAACAGCCATATGATTGTTCTAGCTACAAGTGCCGAGCATGTTCCTTTCTGTCAGTTCAATGATCCATATCAAGTTATGCTACATGTTTCTATTCATATCTATATCTGGATCACATGAACAACTTTGTATTTCTCCTTTTTCACAAGTGAAAAAAATTAGTATGTCTAGTTCTAGGTATTTCGCCCTTCACTGAAGTCAGTTCTTTTAACATGTCCATACTGCATATACAAGTCATACCTGATATTCTGTTACAAATTGAATCTTTGTCTGTACCAGAAAAATCTATGGAATGCATGGATAACAATCTCAGATCTACGAGACACTGTCACCAAAAAAAGACACCGATTGCAGTTGCTTAAACAAAAGTTGAAGCTAGCCTCCATTCTCAAGGGACAAGTAAGCTCTATTCACTGCTTCTGTTTCATATAACAAAATCCTTTCCGACCATTTGTGCAAAATGATTGTATAGCATGGATTCCCAACAACCAGGGCTTGACCTGATGGAATCTGAATAATCAAATGAGATTTACCACCGTTAAATGTTAACATGAAATTGGATTGACAAAATTGAATAAGAAAGCGGTACTCGTATACTGCAATAATAGTCATGGAACTGTTTGCCCTCAATTATTGAACAAAATGTGGAATTGCATGAAGAAATTTATGGGTCGTCTTTAATGGAATATCAAAACTACAAGGTGAGGTAAATTACATGATATATATGCCTCCAGATCTGTATTTGGATTAAGTTTCTACTATCATTAATTACAAGTCATATAGCTGTCTTTCCTGATAAAACAATGAAATCCTGTAGTCATGTTATATAGTATTGAAAATGTACCTGTTACCTCTGCAAAAGGCAAAGTTGAAAGAGGTAAGATATGGTTTGTTCTACCTTGTAGATCTATTTACTCGTAAGTTATTGTAGGTATAATTCATACTCTTCTTGTCTTGAAAGATTCTCAAGAACTCCATTGCGCACGAAGATATTACTAAAAAAATTGGTGAATATCTTTTTCTTTTCTCGCAAGTCATAGAAAATGTAGAAAGGAACGTACAAGAAAACTTCATTCATATATATATAAATTTTCCTCTTAAATAATATAAACTCTGTTTTTTGCTGAAACATATTTGGGGGTTGGTATGTGAATTCCCACTTGTTATGTGATTTAATTGAATGTGAGTATTTAATTTCCTTCATCGTCTAGCAGATGACGTTTTTAGAAGATTGGGGTTCTCTGGATAAAGATCAGTCCATCTCTTTGCTTGGAGCTATTAAAGCTTTGAAGGCTAGCACTCTTCGTCTACCCGTAGTCGGAGGAGCAACTGTATGGTCTCAAGATACTTATTGCTTTGTTTTTAATGTTGTGAGCAGTTTCTCAAGTTGAAAACAAATTCCTGTCATGTTTGACAAAGTCAACAATTTTTTTCCATTTTCACAGGCTGACATCCAGAGCTTGAAGGATGCTATTGGTTCAGCAGTTGATGTTATGCAGGCTATGACGTCATCAATATGTTCACTTCTGCCAATGGTAATCTTATGAGCTCAAATTTACGCAGTTGCTGCTTCTTGATCGTGGTAGTTTTTGTGAATTTAGTACTATACAATGCAATCCAGTAATGGCCTACCAGTTCTCTGCTGTGTATTGAAAAATAAATTCAGATGGAGATTGTGTTGCTGGATTTTTCTTTTGTTTGTTTTAGGAGTGTAAATCAAACAGAAATGCAACGTGTTGGATCAACTTGCACAGTACCTGCTTCTGCTTTCATTTCGCTGCAAATAGAAGAACATGTGCTTAGGATTGATCTCTTTTCTTGTTATATGCTTGTTAAATAATTGAGCGCTGGGGACTTCTTCCTTCCAAAAGGTTAACCTTTAGTTGAAATAAGCCAATCCCGTTATACACCCAAGACTATCCCCTGTCTAGTCGAGGTGGGAATTTTGTTGCATTTCCCACAAATAATCATCACTGTCACCATCAAGTGATGACTCTTCATTCCATCTTGTTGCAACCACAAGATCTAAATCATCTCCATTGCATCATACTCTCGTTACAATGGAGGCTTCTCCACTTTGAGAGTTCACCTTCACGATATCTCTTGCCATTGCAATTAACTAGGGCCCACACCTTCGTTTAAATCTTCTGGACGTGTCTGGAGATTCATTTGGTGCATCTTCATGGCTAGTCTAGGGCATGGCTCTGATACCAATTATTGGGCCTTGGGGTTCCAACCTATTAGGTGGAGTAGCTTCATTCTCTTATAGACGTAGGACTGTCGCCATGTCTAGCCGATGTAGTACTTTTAATTAGCTTATGCTGCATCCTAAAGAGTTCAAGTTCAGTTCATTCAACTAAGTCTTGGGATTAGTTGCTCATACAATATTCGAAGTCACTGCTTATTATACTAGAAGATAAAGAAGAAAGGGTGTCAATTTGATCTTCAGCTGAAAGCTGTTCTATTTACATAGCTGACCTGTGCCCAAATCATTTTAATCATTTTGCAGGTTGAGGAAGTAAATCATTTGACGGCAGAACTAGCGAAAGTTACAGCTAAAGAGCGAGTTTTGCTCGAACAGTGCACAGATCTTGTGTCCATGTTAGCAGCCATGCAGGTAAAATGCATTTTTCTTCTATTCTTCCATATAGTCTTTTGTATCAATGATTGATTATTTTTACTTTCATATGTAAATCCAACAGGTCACAGACAGTAGTCTGAGAACAAATATATTACAAAATATCCGCATATCAACAACCTGACGACACCTTAACAACTGACCTTATTTGACTGTCGAATTTAGATGCTAACATTATACGAAGCTTTCAACGTAGTGAAGGCTGCATCGAAGGTCCTGGATGACGAGTCTTGGATTATCATTTTGGTATTTTGTTGACACATTGATGTCTCAGTCCTGTACTCCGGATATTGAATAGTGAAAGGAAATTATATTTCTTCGCATTAATTAGCTAATATACAAGCATTTCTTTCTTCTTCTTCTTCTATATGTTTTCATTTCATGGAAATGAAAATCTGATGTATATATGTGATGCAGCTATTGCAAGTGATTCACAGGCTCGAGGAAGAAAAGGGAAGATCAAAAATGGATCATGATCCATGAAAAAACTTTTATTTCTTATGTAGCAAGATGAATGGAATCACCATGCGAGACCCACCACCCATTTAAGAAATAAAATGAAATGGCAAGCACAGCACTCTGGGTCCAATAGGGAATGGAAATCGTGATGCATTTTCACCCGAACTCCACTCACAAAATACAAATTACCAGTTGCGGGAAAATATAGGTCCCTTCTCAATTGGGCATGTCACTTTCACAACTCAGTCAAGTCATGCATAAGTGGCCTCCCTCTTTCGTCCAGGTATGATTGCGTGAATCGCTGGCAATTCATATTTCCAGCTTGTGATTGTGACAATATTTCATCACTTGGAACACAATCAAAACAATAAAACACTCGAGGAAAAACATCAGAAAATCCAGATGACTGCAAGGCCCAATGGAAATTGATAAGTGTATTTTATACATTTAGCTTCTGTTTGGTGCACATTTTGGTTATAAGAATGCATTTTTACTGTTGATGTGATGGAGAATATGTGGTTGAAAAAGTATGAAAAGTTATTGATGTGGTGTAAAATATTATTTTATTGAAAAATATGTAGTTAAAAACGAGTAGAAGAATGAGAATAAAAAAAATAATGTGGCCCAAACAGGGCTTATTCGGGGTTTAAAATATCGATATTTGATAATTCTTTTGATAAAATATATTCTAAATTATTGCATTTTATGTTATATAGGTAAAACACAATGGTTGAACGAGGATTTGGAAGAAACAAAAGAAAATTAAGAAAAAATGGGTAAAATTTAAAGTTTGAGAATTAAATTGTAAATATTCAATAGTTAACAATCAAGTATCGTCTTGTGACCAAATTGTAAATATTGAAGACGATATTTTAAAGATTGTTAGGAGATAATTGGATGGAATTAGAATTCAAAAATGAATGAAATATGATCAAAATATTATTAAAATCAATTTTCAATCACACAAATCATGTTTCAGATTTTTAGTCGAAAATTGAGACCTATTTTTGATACAATAAACGTTCGAATTGAAAACATTATATATATGGTAAAGTTCTATCAATTTGAGTTAGTTTTTCAACGCACTTTGAATCGTCTCAATAGAATATCAGAAGAGAAAGTTATGATCAAAATACTGACTGCTATGGAGAGAAAAAAATTTGTGCGCGAATACAACTTTCCTTATTCGATTGGAACTCTTTTTAAAACCAATTTGGACGTAATTTTCAACTAATTTTCTACTCCTACAAATACCTAAAAATAGAATACATATTAGAGACATATCATATACATATCATACTCCAATATTCATCAATTATTATTATCAAATGAACATAGAAGTATATAGTTTATATAGGTGTTCGATAGATGATAGAGATGTACTTCTAAGTTTTATATGGTTTCAATAGGTGTTATAGCACTTGTTAATGTATTTATCATATTTGCATCTTTCATCAAGAGATAGAAAGTCACATGAGGGGAATATATTTGATTGATATCGAGATGAACTTTCAATTAAATTAGGAACATTGGCGAACATAAATGACTTCAAATTGTTACTTTAATTGTTATACTAAAAATGGAATAATAAGGGAAATTTGACATCTTAGCATTGCATATCACATATTTGAAAAATATATTTATTTACTTACATTAGTTTAATTGATAATTTATGTATCAATATAGAAAAATCACAAAATTTGTTTGCTATTTGATTAAAGTTGTAATTAATTTTAACTTGGTCAAACACATAGTCTTCGTGAATTCAACATTATATTCATCATTATATTATTTGATCANACATTATATTCATCATTATATTATTTGATCACGATCCTCGTGCACTTGCAAGTTTTCAAATGATCATGAACTAAAGAAACCATCTATTATTATAGTTATGTTGTCAATGGGAGATTGATAGATGATATGTTGAACGTGTTTGGTAAATTTGATAGAATTTTGAAAAGGAACGTGTAAATATATTTTTTTTATTAATTTTAAAAAGAAACACGGATGAACATTCTATATAATTGTACATGTAATGGCCTTCTAAGAAAAAAAAAGTCCCAACCAGTTGGGCCCAGACATTGGGAACGTGCTAGGTAGGTGCTAATCCATAGAACCTAAGAACAAACCTAAAGAATGGATGAAGGGGCAAACGAAGTCCCTCCCTTAGAAGGAATTGACTTATCGCCACACACCCCTGCCTAGAAAAACAAGCTCTCTCTTCGAGGGTTGGGGCTAACAGCTCTATGGTATGAAGTATTTTTCCCTAATCTTTACAAGGTAGGTGGCAGTTGCGTTTGATGAAACCTTGGCAGCTCCCCAACCGGTTTCATAATCTAAATAACCTTCCCTTATGGTTAATGCACTATTGTTATGCCTCGCCATCAAGGCTCCAAACTAAACTTACATGGTAGTCCACGTGGAGGCTTTCAAAAGAAGTGGTGAAATCAAAAGGAAAGCTTTCAAAGCTCCCTTGGCCAAAATTCTCGCTGGTTCTTGAAAGATCTACAAGCAATTTCTAGGAATGATTGATATGACGTTTGTAATAAATGAACGTGTCAAGTTTTTAGCCTAGGTTGTTGACTCATTTTCGATGTATTAAATTAGTAGGCTAGTGCTATAATGCTTTGATTTGGGAGATGAAGACACATGCTTCTTCATCCAACGGCCGTTTGCTTGAGTTTAGATTATCTTGCTCTAGTTGAGTTGTTCGTGATTGATTATTAATATGCAATCATCTTTAAATATATCATCAGTGTTTGAACATTTTTGTCTTGCATCATGGAGCATCTACCATGTCCATATACAGTCACCCTTACAAAAAACGAGGTCATTAGTACAATCAATCCTTCAAAAATAAGTCTTACCACTCCCAATTGAAAGAAGGCTATTTCCGCTCATGAATCGATGAACAACCAACAGTTTTGATGCATGCATTGAGAGTAAATGTTTCTGGATATTGCAACCTTCAAGACTAAATGACATGTTTCGTAATTTAGATTGATAATCTTGTAAATGTCAATAAAGTTGACTAACAAAGGATGTCTTGAAGTCGAAGGTGTCATCCCCATTCCCCACGTTACGTAAATGAGAAATCTAGGGTCCAATAAACCTCAAAATGTCTCCAAAATTAGAAGAAAAAAATTAAAATTGCTAAGATAAGGAAATAAAATAAAAATACTCACAATCAGGCTCTAATTACCCAAACGTTTACTAAGATAAGAAAGCTTCATTTCCTATCCATTATGGTGGTATAATTCTTGACGAAGCATCAAACCACTCTCCAACGTCGTCGTTTCAGACTCATTCGACAGAGGCGGTGCCAGTCTCCTTCTTTCTGTCTTCCGTTTAACCCTAATGCCGACCGTTATTCTCATTGGAAATTCAGCTTGTAATCCAAGATCCAAATGATTTGCCATACTGTCAAGCCCTTTCCTTTTAAGCCTCATGTTCAAATAGGGGTGTCCAAAAGTCTCTAACCGAACCGGACCGAATCGAGCGGTTCTTCATAAATTAAATACCCGAACGGGTGCCCGAATCGAGAACCGATACGTTTGGGTCGGGTCTAGACCAAAAATCGAAGAATCGAAACTAAATAATTTTTTATATTGAATTAATTAAATAAATCAGATTATTTCATAATTTTAATTTTAAAGTCTAAATCATTTTTAAAGCCCATTTTAATTTGAAACAAATGAATATACTTTATGTAGTATTGTTGT